TTTCCCTTACCTGGCATCAGTACCCCATCCAGGGCATCACTACAGCTTCTCTCAATATCTATGATGGACTATGTCTGTGACTCCTATGGGTATAAAATCCATAGATGCTTAAGTCCCTTATACGAAGTTATGTGGTATGATAACATGATTTATGCATATCCATCCTTCTGTATACTTTGTGTGTGTGTGTGTGTGTGTGTGTGTGTGTGCGTGCGCACCACACACACATACATAAGGAAGCCAGAAGTCAATGCTAGCTATCATCTTAACTGCTTCTTCACCTTACTTTTTGAGACAGGGTTTCTCACAGAACCTGGAGCTTGCCAGGTAGCTAGAAGCAAGCCAGGGATCTCCTGTCTCCACCTCCCCAACACTGGGATGACAAGGTCAAGTTTCCATGTCCAGTTCTTTATGTGGTGCTAGGGGTCTGAACCCAAGTAGTCAGGTCGGCACAGCAAGTGCTCTTACCTACAGAGACGTCTCCTCGGCCCCTCCTACACAGTGTTTGTTTTTGTTTCTCAAAACAGGGTTTCTCTCTGTAGCTCTAGCTGTCCTGGAACTCACTCTGTAGACCAGGCTGGCTTTGAACTCACAGAGATCTGCATGGCTTTGCCTCCCAAGTGCTGGGATCAAAGACATGTGCCACTGCTGCCCGGCTCCTCTCCATATCACTTAAAATACCTAACATACTGTAAATGCAATATAAATAGCTCTACTGACTTGTTTAAGGGATAGTAAATAAGTTTTTACTTGATATACATGTGTGTATAACACACACACACACACACACCTCCCCCTATATATCTGTATTGAAAGAAGTCTAATATTAATGGCTCCCGACCCTATTATCTCCAAATTTACAGGAAATTATGATTGTGTTTGTTATTATCAATCTTTTTGTCTTTTGGTAGACTTTCACTATTAGGCTTGCTCAGCTGTATTTTAATAGAATTGAAGAAATGTATGCTGCGGGGTGTTCAGTATATAAAACTGAGCAGAATCTTCAGTTCTAATTGCTCTTGCTTATTAGCTCATTTGGTTGAACATGGGTCCTTTGCTCTACCAAGGATTTGGTTTGGTCTTCTGGAAAAAAAAAACAATTTCTTTCTAATGATGAATTTGATAAGGGAAATAGAATGTAATAATTTGAATGCACTATCTAGTGCCCTGCCCCCATAGATCAACTTCTTATGAACAGGAGGCTTATTAAACTGAGGTGCATCCTGAACTGTTAATAATTTGTAAGTAACATGTTAACATTGCAGCAATCTCCTAAGACATGTATCTTTGGTGCTAGCTATATTAAAAAGTCATTTGGACCTGCCCATTGATCCTTTGATGCCAGGCCTTGGCTTCCCTAGCCTGCTACAGTGGGTCTTCTGTGATATAGGTTCCTTTTCTCCAAGTCACAGTATTTTATCATTGTCAAAGAGAATTTAGAAGTAATTTGGTCTCGCCCATCTAATTCTCCAGTGAAGGCACAAATGGGAAAGGAAAGCCCTAAGACTTGCTTGACCCACGTCCCTTGCCTCAGTAAGACACCCTCCATATTCGGTTTTGTTGTATAGAATTGTTTTATTACCCCAAAGGACCAAACACTAGCTATACCATATGGTGCATTTAACATGAACTGAAATACATGGTCAGTAATAATGTAACTCAATTTCTCAGTTAAGAAAAGGAAATAGGGCTGGAGAGATGGCTCAGCCGTTAAAGGCTAGGCTCACAACCAAAAATATAAGAAAAGGAAATAAAACTTAAAAATCTTTTCTACTTAGAGGCAGGACCTGAAACTCAAAAGAGTGCGTAAGTATGCTACAGATAGGTGGCTTCTTGGGTCAGACTTTCAAGTTTCTTTATCTACATTGTAAAATCAGACATCTGAAGGCATAGTGGTGCATATGCACCTATGATACCAGCACTCAAGAGCCTGAGGCAGGGAGTGCAAGTTCAAAGCCAGCCTCAGATATGTACAAAGACTGTCTCATAGGTAATCAACCAACAGACCAAATAATCAAATCATGACTCCCCACTAGCCCCCAAACAAAATTTCAGTGTCCAAAATAGGAGCATCCACGGTCCTAATTTATCTGAAAACACACAGAACAGGCCTAATGCCAGTCAGACAACTATAAAACTACTGCTCACTCCCCTCCCCCATACTACCGTGTTCCCTGCCCTAAGGTCTCGTATCCAGGCTGTGTTGCTTACCTATATGCCCTACCTTACCCGTGTGTTCATATGCTCGCTACTGTTGTTAAAGATCATGTAGCCAAAACTTGACCAATCACATGTGAGGAAAGAGCTATCTTAGATAATTTTAGAATAGAACACAATTATAGGAGATAATGTGGCTAAGGGGGGAAAACTACAAGTTTAAAGCTGATTTAAAGGACTAAACAAAAAAATATTAACTTCATCTTATTTCTTTGATAGGTGATTCGAATCCAGAACATTCTATCAGAAGAACCTAAAGTAACTGTAGTTTATGCAGAAAATGGCACAGTGTTGCAAGGTACTACAGTTGCCTCTGTGTACAAAGGAAAACTGCTTATTGGCACTGTGTTCCACAGAGCTCTTTACTGTGATCTGTGATAAGCTGATTGCACCACACCATGGACAATGAGTCCATTATTTCAATTGTTTTCCATATTGAAGGTGCCTATCACAGTGATCTCTGCTGACCAATGAATGTTGACATTAAACTTAGAAGGTGTGGGAGTGTTTACTGGCTACAGATGTGAACAGCAAAGGTTTCTTTAAAGTTAGTCTTGAACTACTTGAAGACTTCATTTATCAATAAAAACTCTTTCACCAAAATGGATAAATCTGTCAAGTCTATATAACTTGTGTTATGATTTGAAGATGAACTGTTCCTACTGGCTCGTATGCTCTATGTTTAGTCCACTGGGGGAGGGATTTCTGGAGGTGTTGGGAACTTTAGGAGATAGGACCACACTGATGAAGTATGTCACTGGGAGGGCGGGCTGCCTCTCTGCTCCTCTCTGCTTCCTGTTGGCCGTGAGGTGAGCCCCCACCGGCTCCTGGGGCTGAGTTGCAAGCCAAGAGACAGTGGAGTCAGATGTGGACTGAGCCCTCCAAAATAAGTTTTTTTCCCTTTTAGTTATACCAGGCTGTTTGTCGCGGCATTAGGAAAAATCAGTAATACCTTGTATGTAATTCCAAACACACTTTCCTTGTAACACACACAATCCCTGAAAACCTGTGCATGTATTTCTGCTTCACTGTTCTTCCTTAAGAAAACAAGAGAGTTTGGCCAACTCTGGGGACTCTTAGGTGACTTAGGGACTCCCAGGGTCACAAAAATGTCATCGTGAAGACAACTCTCAATAACTCATGAAGCCAATGGATGGACCAGCATGCACTGCCTGACTCCTGGCTTTTCCCTTTTCTCTGTGACTTCCTCCAGAAATAGAAGTCACAGTCACCCTCTCTCATCTTTTTCACTGGGCTTTTCAGTTTTCCTATAGTTATGGCACGTAGGAGACTCAGAAGATCCTTGGAGAGGTTCTTGCACTGAAACATGGTTTCTGTTGTCTTGATATATTATACATTCTGTTTATACTGTCCCAAAGAATGGAGGAATTCACTTCTTCTGTCATGACTAGATTCAGGAGTAGTCTGCAACTGATTCCACAGGTGCTGAGTGCCAGGGATGGGTTTTGTTTTCTTGGTTTTTGTTTTGTTTGGCTTTACCTACTCTAACTTGCTGTGGAGACTGAAAAAAAAGGATGATAAACAGACTTAATAACAGGAAGATCAGCAACTTTTGGCTATTTATTGAGAGACATGACTAAGAAGAAAATATCACTTTTCTTATGTTGGTTATGAAGCAAGAGATTATATTATTATTTGTCTATTTTGAAGACAGAACCTCAGTGCTGGGTTTTTATTTTTGGGACATTAAAGCAGCCAGTTTAGAGATGAAATATTTCTAAGATAACAGTCATGGCATTTATCTGGTATTTTGGGTTTTTTTTTTTTTGAGGGGGGGTATTAGTTTGTTTGTGGGAGTTTGTAAGAAACTGAAAAATTGTCAAAAAACTATAATTTAAGGCCACAAATTGGAAGTATAAAACAAAAACAGTTTTTGGAACCAGGCATAATGATATATGTCTAATTCCAGACTTAGGAGGTTGAGGCAGTGGGATCATGAACCCCAGGACAAGTTAGGCTATAAAGTAAGATCTTAAGAAAACCAAAATAATAACAAAAAAAACCCCTTATTTTTATAAAAGAACCGCTTTCGTCACAATGAGATTGAAGTGATTTTAGTCAGTTTAGTAAGACACCAGACGTCTGTGAGTGTTCAGTTAGTCAGCAATACCAGCTATCCACAGTCCAGGAGGCTTGGCTTTGGAACAACGGTTATGACTATCAATGAATGTGGTACTTAACAAAGCAAACCTTATATACATCTTTAAAAAAAGTCTTGACACCTTCAGGGTAACGACCACATTGCTTATTCTGTGAGGCTGAGACAGAATGCAGCGAATAGGCTTCATTCGTCTCATCCAAGCTTTCTTAGTCTTGGAGATCTTAGGATGAAAATGTCTTAAAATAACGTGGTGCCCTGGGCTGGACTTGCCTCCTTCCCAGCTTGTCTCTCGTTACATGAAACTGACTGCTAATGGGTTGTCATCCACCTCTCTCTGGCTGATGGGCACTGCAAACGTGATGGTGAAGCGGCGATGGAGAGACAGGGGAAGAGGTGGACGGGGAGGCTCCAGCTGGAGGCCCCCGCTCTTTAACTTTATGCCCAGTGCCATAATTGTGCTTTCAAGGGTAATTCTAGCTGCCAATTTACACTTTGCCAGAGTTAAAACTTATTTTTAGATTCATTTCCATGAAAAATGTGCACTTTGCTCTTGATGGATAGATATGTTTTGACAGTTAATGCAGGTCTGCCCAGTCAGGGCTTGTTTTAGTTGAAGGTGGAAATGGAAGAGGAAAAAGAAAGAAACATATACTCTGACAGATCACTGTATTTCCTTTTATTGCATTCATTATCTAACAACAATAATACTCATTGGCAAGAAATTTATTTACACTAACAAATTAAATTTCATCACAGGTATTTTTAGATGGTCAGAAAACAATGGGCCGCTTATGGTATGGTTTGCTTTGAAGCCTCTGAAAACCAAAGATAAGGAATGCCATATGAAACAGCACACACTAATCAAGCACCAAAGAACAGATCAGATGTGGCACTATTGTCTCTTCCATGCAAATAATCAGACAGCAAAATGAATAAATTAAGAGTTTCAGTTAATATGCTACCCATACATATCAGACTCAAATGCTTTTCAGACCACTTTCCCTTTAGCAATATACAAAGAAAGATAAAAACGAATCAAATCTTACAGTAGAACAGAATTTTATTCTCTTTCTGCTTTTCAGCTGCCCAGTCTTGTCAATGATATATAGCAGATGTACAAGTGGCTTCATCAAAATATCATTGAAAAAAATACAGAAGCAGTAGTTATGACATTAAGTAATACCGAGGAGTGTATACGCATGTATGTTTAGAGATTTTATTAATCACTGATTGAACCTGATGTTGCTGGGAGGTGTTATCTAGCTTGAGAATCACTTGGGAGGTGTTATCTAGCTGCTTTTTTTTTTTAAAGGTAATTTAAGGTATTTCTGGCCAATTGTTCTTTCATGAATGAATGCTTAAATCCTTAACATGATACTTGTGTGTATGCATAAAACAGCTGAAGGAAATGGACGCACACATCTTCCAACAACATAGACTCATAACCCATTGTGTTATTTTTGGTAGCAACCAAAATGCCATTGCAAGCTGATGGCCTAGGAAGTAAATAGTGGTCACATGACAGAAATACTGCCACCAGAGAGCCAGTAGTTAGTGACATAAGCTACTGAAGATCTCATTTTAGAGTGAGAGCTGATACACAAGAACACACAGTGCAATTTTTAGTCTAGAAAACTGCCATCTGCAGTTGAAAATGCCCAAAGCTGCATAATATCTTCTGATTTCTAACTAAAAAAAGTGCAATCTTGACATCAAAGCATTAATCAAACCTTTGAGGAAAATTTCTTACTAAAATACAATACCAAAGATCTAATAAATCAGTTTTACCAAAATATATAAACATTTATAAGCGTAAGTGCATTTAGTAGGATACTTACATTAAAAAAAAATCTCTTAAAATCTATGAGCCATTCAATGTATACACAACACAAAAAGAGGCAATAAGGCTATGATTACAGCCCAGGGTCCTAACTAACATCACTGTAGTCCATGTATAGTATATTTTTATGCCACGTGCTTATGATATATATGTGTGTAAGGTAGGGGACACAGTCACACACAGTTCTGACACCCACACGAGTGGCATGCACATGAGTGAGAATTTGTGGCTCGCTCTCGTACTCTTGTACTCCTGCGACTTGCACATCGCTGGATCCCTAATGGTCTGGGGCGTGGGTGGGGTCAAGGGCTGGGAAGCATGGAGCTTCTTTTGCCCCCTGCTCTGAGGATACAGAAACAGGTCCAGGTGCTTATAGATTTGAGTCTTGAGTAACAAACATGCTCTTACAATTCCACACAGACATCCTTGCACAAACAGGTGAGGACCGCAGGCCTCCCGTGAATGGAACTGGTGTCACTTAGCAGGGGGAGGCTTATTGTGTAGGTTTCCCCTTTGACCTCTAACTGCTCAATCCAGTTTCTTCAATGCTACTCTCCAAGTTGTTACAATGTGTTTTCTATGGTGTTATTTTTCCTCCAATGTTTTGGATCAAGATTAAATTCCATGGGGCCTTAAATACTCAAGACAAATGCGAACAAAGTCAGCCAGCACACTCAGTCTGACTTTCAGGACCGAATCGGTCAAACAGACTTCCTGAACCGCTGTTTCCTTTGGAGTCTATCCCCTTCTTTGTCCTATCACAGTGAGGACAACTTTGGAAGAAAGTAAAGATGCTTTAATCTTGGACTTCACCTCCACAATCTCACCTTTGGAACTGGACACAGGTCGAGCCCCGACTCAATGGAAGTAAGAAAACACACGAAAGCTAGTTCTGTCGTCTCCTAACTACCTTTTCACTCAGGCAGGGTCTCTGTGGCAGCAAGTGGCATGCCCCTGCGGATGCCTGTCCCCTAAAGCCACATGCTCCTGATCGCCAGCTCTATGGGAAGAGCCTTTAGTTACTCGAGTGGATTAGGTAACTCTTAAATATCTCAGTGCATGAAGGGGAAATATGCATCCCATGTACAGAAGTTTCTTTTAGAATCATTTGCCCTCCCTCCTCCAGAATTATCTTAAACACCCTTGTTAAGTGTTGATGGTCCTCCTCAAATTTATCCAACCTTTCATGTTTATAAATGACTTAGAATAACTGTATAAATGCAAATTGTTTACTTTTTACATAATTTTCAGGCACAAGTTAATCCTATTGGACAAAGACCCTAGATGAGACTTCTTCATCTTCAGGACAACCCAGTCTGACCTGTGGACATTCTTGCAGCTTAGGCCTGAGGTATTCTAAGATCCTGGGTAAATACTGTCTGGCACGGACAGTGGCACGAGTCCTCACTTCTCCTCAGCCCCTTCATCTCCTAAAATAAAGGAACACATTTCGTGCCTGTTGGAAGCTGGGTTTGGCATTGGCTCCTGTCACACTGTAATCATAAACTGCTGTGATATTTTAAAAGTCTACATTAGGGGGTCCATGTCAGTCTCAGCTAACGGATGAAAGATGACTGGAGAAGAGTTTTGCTGTCACGGTACTAAATGCGGGCTTCGTCAGAGCACTAAAGTGGATGAAGCGTGGTTTCCACGCTAACAGGACTCTTCGCATTCCAGAGAGGAAGGAAAAATGATTACATAAGTGTGAGTCACTTTAAGGAGATGGTCTTAAGTGCAGCAATCCATTACAAAGTTCTTTAGTGGAACCCTGCCCCAGATTCTATTCCTATAGTGCTCTCTACCTAGGGCAGGGCCTCACCATGTACCCCCATGCCCAAACATCACCTGTACCCCAAAACACTCTTGGTGATTGGTAGCATCCTAGTGAATACTTCACTGGAATATAGTTCATAGTAATCAGATATTCCCTTTTTTGTTCATTTGTTGAAAATCTGAAAACCTTCCAAAAAATGTTGAATGTCCACAAAGCGACAATTCTCTGTTAAATTGTATAAACCCTGAAAACTACAGCATTAAAGCAGGAATTGTGCAAGACATTGGAAACTTGGTTATCACCATGCAGCACAGTCAATAGGGGACTAACAGGAAAACAAATTGCTCACAAGGTCTGAGGTCCTTCGCTTTGTTTTCAGACTGGGTCGACCAGCTTATGTCCTTTGCTCAGCAATACAATCAAAAGCCTTTTACATTTTTGCCAGTTTTAAGTAGCAATGTTAAAAGAATTCATTTAGGTCTAAGATTGTGATGATTTAACTTAAAGATCAAAATGGTTGAAATACAAACTAAATGATGCAAAGAGAATGAACTTGATCTGTAACTGTGAGATAACACTGACCCGGGCACTGAAGTCTTAATTAAGTTGCAGTAAGAACACTGTATTTAAGAAATGCAGTCTAAGAGATCTTAAGTTACAGGCAGAGACGAACTATAGACATTTCCAATATATACATTCAATTTCAAATATCATCAAAGTGTAAACACAACTTAAAATGATCATCCTTCTGTTTTCACTCTCATAAATGAACACAAAGAAGCTTCCAGTGCAATCCAGGTTCGCACCCCACCCCCCAAGAAAAGAAAAATGGCTAAAATTTACAATAGCAAGCATTAGTATTGCCTGATATTTGTTAGTCTTCTGGTATTAGGAAAGGTTTGCTGAATTTTTAGTTCAGTAATGTGTCTCTTGGTTTTTCAAAATATTAGTAAGTGGCAAAGCATCAGACATCTGAAGACATACACAGGTACCCAGTACTTGACCGCAAGCAAGAACCAGGAAAGGGGTCTGGTGACTGCTGAGCACTATGCTACTCTCCTGTCATGTTTAAGACTGAAGTGTATCTTTTTCCGAAGGACCGGAACTTAGCACAAGTGCTCTGGGCCAGAAAAGGAAGCAGGCCCTGGGAGAAAGAACAGGAGGAAGTTTCTAGTACAGATAATTTCAGAATTCCTATGTTTCAAAAATAACAATAAAAATGAAAAGTCACAATGTCACACTACAAGGCAAGGCCACCCCGGCAGCGGAGCGGACCCCCATCCCCACAGGCGTCTGTAGTAACTCCGCAGCGCAGACTCTGCAAACCTGCTCACCCAGAGGAGATATGCACGGGGCTGTGGACAGAAGGGCCTGGTGCAGTTTTAAAGGAAGGAAAATATGCGCCCAAGAATTCATCTGGCCTCTAGTTCTACTTTAAAATTTGTCCATCGTAAGGTAGATGACGTCAGTTTGGGAGTCAATGCAGCAACGAGAGTTAGATACATAAGCAAAAGAAGCAAAAGTAAAGCAAGCAAACAAGTAAGAACCCTCACGCCCTGAAATGTCTCAAGTTTCTCCCCCTCCCGCCCCAGCCTCCTGCACTCAGCTGTGGTTGGTCAAATACTGGAATCCTTAATACTGGACTTAAGCGTAAGATTTTATACTGCTAAAGTTCACCCCGTGTCCCAAACAAGCCTGGAAATCTTTAGAATACGGAGAGAACTGCTTAAAAGTCATTCAAAACGTCTCTAAACTGTAACTGACAGCTGTCCTTCACAGAAAGAATTGTGTGTGCTCAAAAAAATTTCTCTGGTTGACTGTTACTCAAATCTCAATCTCCAACCAGTATTTCTAGTTTTAAGTTCTTAAAAGTACATTTGTTAAAGCACTAACCGAGCCCACTTGGGAAATTCTGAGTAGAAAATCTGTGACAAGTTCCTGATTGTGTCATAGACAGGCTGAAGACCAGCCAGAGTGTGTCCCAGGAGAGGAAAACCTGAAAATGTTCTTTCCTTAAACTCAATTTCCGGTCCCGTTTGTTGGGAGGGCGGGCTGTATGTGTTTGTCAGCGCTGTTGACACCCTGGGCTGGCAGGGCTGGCAGACGGAGCTGCAGATCTCAACACCCAGGGCTGCACTGTGCTCCGACTTTTTCTTCTTTGTTCAGCAATACATGGAGGAAAATGTTACCTCTCAAGCCCCTCGGTCCACCCACAGCTCTGTTCTTAAGGCGTCTTCATTTCTTCTACAGTTAACAAAGAGCTACGGTTTTTCTCTCTTTTTGATTCCCAGCACATGGAACAACATGCTTGCTCTCCCCCCATTTGGTAATTATGTGCTGGGCACCCACATTCCCAACAGGACTGACTCGCTGTACAGTCATAACGGAGGAGAGCCTTTCCTACACACCGTACTAGAATCTGAACCCAGGAGCAGGGCAGCTTCCTCATCTCTGCACATCAACCACCAGGGCTACGATCTCAGTTTCAGGGCCTCTCACTGGAAATTCTGGGTGCTCCACTCACAACACCAGAGTGAGTCCTGCTCTCATTGGCTGGGTCAGGCTGGTTCTCCAAGTGGCACCATACGCTCAACACAGCACAGGATGTTGGTTAAGTAGAAGATAAAAATGGTATTTCTGGTTTGTTAATAAACCAAATGTGGCTTGGGGTTACTTTAGGAGGTTAAAACTCAGAGTGCATCCAACACACAGTTCTTTAAACCGCCCACAGTGGCACTGTCCCCATCAGTCTGTCTTCATCCTCTGCGGGAGAAGGGGGCCAGGAAGGGGCGGGACTTCCCTCAAGCTTCCCCAGTACTAGAGGAGACCAGGGATCACTGCTCACTGTTGTTCTCGGTTGTGGACGTCATCTTTTCAGCTTTTTTGGACTTCCTCTGCATCTGCTCATGTTCCCTCCTCCTCAGCTTTTCTCTCTGCTTTTCCATTTTCTCCTGGGCCTTTCGAGCCTTCTCTAGAGACATCTTCATTTCCTTCAGTTTCTTTTTAACCAGTGCCCGGTCCTGGGATGACGCCATTCCAAGTGCCTACAAAGGAAACACATGTACAAACTGAATGTGAAAAACTGCTGACCTCTTTGCTTATGATGAGGAAAACATCACACTGTGCTTAATCTCACGACCTTAGTTAAACATGGGTTGAGGAGGTCAGAGCTAAGAGAAAGCAGACTGCACTTGCTAAATTCTGTGTGCAGGAGGATCTGTGCTTTGTTCTCTCAAGCTCTTTCAAAATACACTCCAGGAGTCATTAAGAAAATGCTTTCCAAATTGGTGACTAATGAGCGAATAAATAAAAAGGGCATGATCTTGCTTCTTCATCCTTCCGCCGAAGTATTGCTAAACTCATCAATATCTTCAAAGGGTAGCAGAGAGCACCTGCTGTCACACAAGGCTCCAAGAAGGGCAGGAAGAAGTGAAATGGCTCTCTTTTGCCAATGGAGTTATTTACAATAAGAACCAAAAATGTCTTTGGGGCCAGGGTGCCCACATCGGTATCTCTGTAGCCATAGTCTCCCCAAAGGCAGACTTAGAGAGGAAGCCTGATTATAATGATGAGATTGCTGGGTGAGCTTAGAATTCAGAATCAGGGGAGATGGCTGTGTACTTTAAATGTTCCATGACCTTCAGCATCAACAGCAGGATGCATCCGTCTCCCCACCAGGGACAGCCTTGTCAATGGGGCCTTCATATTCACAAGCTATTGATTGATCTCTAACCTTTTCAAAGAGTGTCAAGAGACACTCATCCATCCACCCGCCTCGCAGGGGCCTGCAGCAGTGGGGAGGGAACAGTGTGTGGGGAACAGGCTGTACCCTCCTTTTGCCCTTTCTCCACAGGGTTGGGTGCCACCTCAGTCTCTCAGAGAGATGGGCTGGAGGAGTGGAAATGAAGGTGCAGTGGAGGAGACGGGGAGGCATGGCTTTCATAGACGTGGGGAGGAAGCTGGGGATGCCATTTCAGTTTTCAAGTGTGGACAGGAGGGGGAGCATGGAAGAGAAACCAACAAAGAAAGATTCATACCGGCCATTACTAAAACTTAACAGTCCAGTGAGAAGTGGGGGTGTTAAACAGAGGTCATGTGCTTCCAGGGGAAGCAAAGGAAAGGGTCCCTAACTCTTGCTCAGCAGCCTATCTTGAGTCAGAACCCCTGATGAACTTCCTGGAGCTTCATTTTCTACTGAGAAATAATTCAGTATCTTTTCTGCTGAGTGTTGGCAAAAATGACCACATGGATATGCAGAACACTCTCGGCTAATGAAAACGTGTCAGGTGCTACAAGCAATCCACGTCACTGGTAACCTACCACAGACACGGGAGTCTTTACCTTCAGTTTGCTCCCATCGAGCTGCAGGAGCTGCTCCCCAGTGATGTTCTGGGCACTGAATTCAGACACATACTGGTCCAGATTTAGGCTCATCAACCAGTGAGAAACCTGCTGCACACTCCATTCATGAACGGCCCGGTTCAGACTCTGACTGTGCTTGGGAGACTGTCCCTCATCGAGGATCTAAGGCGGGAACGGATGCAGTGGTGTTAAAGGACTAAACACTGTGGCTCATATGATGCTACCAAAGGAATTTCTCAAGCTACAAAGCCGTATTTACTTGTACATCATAAAATGATAATAGTTCTACCTATGTTAAGAAGAAACGTCTATTACCTTGTGATTCTGGTAATGAAAAATTAAAAATATTCCACAAATAAAGTACCATTACATATGAAGGAAGTTAAAAATTGAAAAACTACACACTAACACTGATGATTTTATAATATATAACTATGGAGATATTACCAGATGTAGAAAATAAATATTTCATAGATTTCTATATTCAATACATCACTTTAAATTTATCCTTTTAGAAGACACTAAAGTTACACTAAGAATGCATTAAAAATATTGTCTCCTTCACTTTATAGAAAAAGGTCTTAAAGCCCTCAAGCCTTGGGAAATTTACAGCCATTATTTCATGTGAGCAGGCAGCAACCTGGGAGGAAGGTAGAGCGCTCACCTCCACAAGTACTTTTAAGACACGAGGAAACAGGGTCAGGAAGTTTACATTCCGTGATCCCTCTTAGACAACACATCAGTGAGCGGCAGAGCTTAACAGGAGACTCACTGCCAACTCCAGGCTCTGTCCACTCTAGACTATGCCCTGTGTTTGTGAAAAGAGGCAGGAGCGCTCCTAGAACCGCTAAGCTGAGGGAAGATGAAGTCGTGATAGGGCTCAGAGGAAAGACGGAAGTTACCCTGGTGAGCTATTGAAGAACGGAGGAGAGAGGAGGGTGTAAGCTGAGGGGAAGGCAGAGGACATGGAGAAGAGCGGACCATGTCAGGTAATGGCTATGGGAGATAAATGAGGGATTCTGGAGGTGGGACTTAGAGCCTCTGGATCCAGGAACACCTCTCAAGTAAGATGTAAACAAGTGCAATCTTTCCCTCCCCAACAGAGACAGTGTGCTGTAGCACTGGGTTCCTAAGTCATTTGTAAGGAGAAAAAGCAGGTTCAGATCAGGCAAGGCACCACACACAGCCCCCAGACAGCTCACCTCATCATCTATCATATCCAGGCTCTGGGTGAGCAGCAACAAAAGAACGAGAAGAAAAGTGTTACATAAATGGGACACACAGCATCCACAATGCACTCTGTTACATCCAAGTCAAACCCAGCTAGAAAACCATGACCAGAAAAGCTTAAAGGAAGAAACGGAGTTTGGGTGCACAAAACTCATGTTAGAAAGAAATAAGAACCAGAGCAAACATAAAATGTTACATTATTTCTTGCCCCCCCCTCTGACTCCCACCAGTTTTTAGAACTAGTCAATCCCAACATAGTTTTCTTCCTCTCTCCTGCATACATATTTTCTGATAATTCTTAGCAATGCTAATCCTCACTCTAGCATCTGGATAAACGATTCTTCCTCTATTTTCTTTCCAGAACTCTGCCTATTGGTTGCAGTGATTCAACTGGGGGCATATCACGGTCAGAGGACTGTCAAAAGCCTGGGGGAAGGGGTGGATAATAAACAGTTTCCAAGTGATCTAAACTGTTATCTAGTCTTGTTCTCCAGCGCCCTGCCTCCATATCATGTGTGTTTACATATATAAATGGATGCCTGGGAAGCTTCAAGGGCTCAGAAGCTATACTTTTCTTTAATGTTGAAGAGGGTTGGAATCATAAGGACCTTGTTTTAAACATGAAACCTCAGTGCTGATGACTTCTATGCTAAATCCACCCTCAAACATCTTCCTATAGTGGGATATGGAGGAAATGTGTGACATAAAAACCCAGCTCTGCCATGGTGCCACTCCAGTACCTCATCCGAGGACAGTGCCAGGGACTGAGAGAGCCCTGGTGTTTTGGGTTCTGCTCCTAAGCCGCTTAGGTCTGCCGAGCTGGTACTACTTGGACTGAAGTCGTCATTGAAGGTGAAATTCTGTAAAAACAAATAAAACCATGTTACACAAACACACGAAGGGAACTAGAGGCAGCCATGCTTCCAAGTCCTCAACTGCTCCATTTCAATCAATTTTCTTTAGAAGAGTTTGGTGGTGATGATGGCCTTCAACTGGGCAGCAGTAGAGGATGTGACACCTTTTGAGACTGATTGGTAATCCTGGGCATTTTCTCCATCTGATGCAAGGATAGGTGTTGCAGAGAAATGATTTTTCAGTTTCTCTCCAAGGGCACAGAATTCATTATCCTCTGTAACTGATCAGAGGAGTGATATTAATAAGCCCATCTGCTTTGACCCTAATTGTGATGAGCAACAGTATAAGTAGGAACACAAGATGCCGTGGAGAGGCTGAGTTATCAGAACAGATGGCAATTCATATCAGCAAGGTAGCTGGAGTGCCCCTGGGAAAGATGGCGTGTGGCTGGCTGTGATAAATACTGTGAGAAGTGACAGGTCCCCTCCTGGATGTACCCTTCAGAGTGATGAGTTCTGGAGGAGGGCATAGTCTGACAACACAACACTGGTTACATGTTGGAATATGAGCCAGAGACTGGAGCATCGAATAGACCCACAGTCTGCATCACCTCCTGGGGTTAGGGAGGGGGAGTGAGGGAAATCAATTCCCCAGAACTCCTTTAACACACTCAGTAGATGTTAAAACAACTTGACGATGGCCTCACTTGTGAAAACATCGTATATTGAACCTCTCTTTAGTGTGAGATAATTTTAGAATCACTCAAGTGAAACTTTAGTCCCAGAACAACACTAAAAGGCCCAAAGGGTTGATTATGACCAGAACTTCTTTGCTACTTGTTGAATGGTTGGATTCCCAGGAACCCTAAGCAACTGCCCAACACTGTTTTCTTTCATATGGCACTTCTCTAGGAACTGGGCTGTTATTTCTACTAGGTTCCTTTGTGTTGGGTTTAGCTGATTATTGAGAATAAATACCATGCCAGAGACCAGAGAGTTTAGTACCAAAGCAACTCTAAGATTCAATAAATCTTCAAAAAAGGAGGGAGGCTGGTAGAACATTCAAGCCGCAAGGTATTACACCCAAAACATCACCCTTGGTATTTTCACTGGAGCAATCCTCCAGCCCCTCAGGCAAAACCTTTTGAGCTGCTGACCTCAAGGAAAGAAATAAGTTTAAGTAAGATTAATCACACATTTCTGTTTGGGATAGAAGAGTGAACACAGAGAAAAGGAAACCAAATAACTCGAAGGTTAGCCACCATGTGTTTCAGTAAAACGTTATTAGAGAAGGTTTGCAGTGTCATGCTGGAAATACCCATCATGCATTTTGAAATGCACCACAGCCATGCAGATCATTTCTAATTCTGCTAACGGTAAAGAACTCTGGTGACAGAATTAGAACAAGTGCTCAGCATGTTCTACAAAAAGTAGATTTGATACAAAAAGGAAGTAAGGTGCTACATGCCAATGGTTTCTGTTTGTTTCATTTAAATGTATTGAAGACAGTCAGGCCCAAATTTATCTATTTTCCAGTAAACCTTGACGAGCACAGCAAAAGAGTTTCATAATGCAATTTAAGGAAGAATACTTAGTAAATATCTGTAAACCCAAACTGTTTCATCTCCCGAATGCCTCTTTCCCAGCATGGCTTAACTGTCAACCTGAGATTTAATAGCAATAGCGGTAAGTGAAATGACAGACAAATCGAAGAGAAATGCACACGCTAGAACAGAACAGTATTAAAGAGGGTGCCAGTTAGGTGAGGCATTTTTGCCCCACAGAGGAAACACCATGCACGCCTACGGCAGTGTTAGCACATTGCTCCTGAGATCCAGGGTGTGCACACAGGTAAGAAGGCCTTCCAAAATTCAAGAGGGGACAGGAGTGGGGGCTTTCTTGTCAGCTTTTTTAGTCCACTGGTGTCTACCTTGGACCCTGTTTTATCTGAAATTAGTGTCTCAGGAGAAGGCTGAAGGGGACGCGGAACTGAAGGCAGGTTCCCAAAGGAATAGGATCCTTTCCGGCTTTCGTTAAACCATGAGAAAGGCATGCAAGGAGAGCGGGTGGAGGCCTGAGCCGCAGGGGAAGGCTTGGCTTTCCAGTTCTCCAACTTGCTTCTGAAGATCCTGTGGTGTGAAAAGAATGAGCACGTTAGACAAAGAAATGGCACAAGACATACTGAACCCAATTCCAAAGAGACTCTCTACATAGGTGAAACTCTGAGTACCTCTTCTATTTAGGATAGTGAAAATGTAACCCTCTGGGCCCTAGCATTAGCCTTAATACTTACCTTCTTTGCATTTAAATGGAATCTATGATAACAAATTGTTTTGAATGGCTATTTCCTTGGCAAAATTGCACTAAATGTGCCTTCGTAAGTACACATGGATGAATTCAAATCAGAGCGGCACAGCCTTTCAGAGACTGCTCTTAGTCTCTGACATCTCTGATGTCCTGGACAGCCATCAAGTGAGCCACACTAGCTCATAACCAGCGTTCTTCCTTCCTACCTCTGGATTCATGCTTCCATCATTTATGACTGAAAGGTTCAGTGATTTGGAAATTTTAGAGCATGTGTTATGCTAAGCAGAACATGCAGCTTACTGGTTTTTCATCAGAAGCTCAGTGTCTTTTCACAGGAGAGGTATAGGGCCACTTGGAAGCTGAGTGTGTGGCCTTCCCAGTCCCCCTGTCCCAAGTAAATATGTTGATGTATCTCACATGCAACTGCTATGAATTAAATAGATTAACTTTTATTAAAGAGCCAGGGAAGCCATTAAAGTATAAATGTTCAGGTCTAGAAATATTTAAAGGTTCAAAGACAGTTGAGAAACAGTTTTTCTTTTTTAAACTTAATGTAGGTACTTTCATATTTGTGTTTATCTATTGGTGAAGCGGAAATACTTGTATAGGAGCTGAAAAGAAAATGCTTGTGTACATTTGGAAGAGGTGAACCTCAGTATCACTGGACCAATGATACTGGATGGAAGCCAGTTACTCGGCAGCTGTTGCTACTATGACAACAGGAACCTCTTCAATTGAAAATGCCTTGAGACCATAGACGTAGATACTTTATAACCCTCATTTATGCTGAATCCCAGTCTCCTTACACCTCATCTCAAGCACACTTAGAAATACAATTCAAATTGATATAAACACCATCAAACCTTAAAGCTTCTGTCTTGTTTCCAAATAGTACACAAGAACCAAATTCAACAATCCTCATCCTGTAGACTGGAGGTGATATACAGACGGAAAGGTTGTAAGAATAGCTAAGGAGAACAGAAACCTTTGTGAAGTTCTGGTAAAACTGACACAGCAGGATGGGTGAATAAAACTGATGGCCACATACAAGAAACCAGAAGACGTGATCATGTTATAGCATCTTTAAAAAGTGTATAGGGGGAGTAGAGTATCTTCAAGGGTAACAGAAATCAAGGAGAGCTAGGTTGACCTTGAACTTCATCTTAAAGCTTAAACTAAATGGAAAATCTTGTACTCTTAATCTACTTACTTATCACCAGATAGGAGAGTACAATAACCGAGCCCAGAGCACACTTTCAGGGGCCTTGTGCTCTGGAGGGGGAACTTTTTATTCTTTGCCCATGGATCAAGTAAAGCTGGTCCAGATGTTAGATTCACAACTCAGAAATAGGAGGAGAGAAGGGAAGCTGACCCAGAATTGGTATTTCACACAGGTCTCAGTTGACTCTTACAAGCTCCATCTTTGCTTATTATGATTATCCTGAACGCAAATACAACGCAAGTCATTACAGAACAGAGCACATCAGTGATCACGGGTGAAAAATTGCTCCCTGGCTCTACACTTCAGTTTCCTCTTACAGGTTCTGATGCTTTAGTCCTAGAAGTTACCCCACCCTCAGTCTACACTGAGGTGAAGGATTCTGGAAAAGTAAGTCTGGATGGCAATAAAGCAAACAGACAGTTGTCCTCATCACCCCTCTGTGAGAGGGGGAGAAATCTTATCTCCATAAGGCAAACAATCCCAGTTAGAATGTAAATAAATACTAATAAATCCTTCTAGGGTGGAGATAAGATTAGAGACTCCAGTTGTAGCGCAGGGATTGACTCTGGGCGCTCCATCATTCTGTCTGCTCCTACTCCCCATGAAGAGGTGACCCTGTGCTGTCTGGAAGCCAGCGCTCTTTGGGGCTCTCATCATCTGTCCACTCAACTTCTAGGGCTTGTCTTTAAGTCCCTACATTCCAGTAAAAATGCCCACAATAGTCTGTTCAGAAACACAGAAACATCTTCTCTGCAGTCCCACCCCTTAGAGACTGGGCACATCTAAGGAACAGATGGTCCCGAAGGTCATACTCTCTTCTGGCTGGACAATGCTGAGTCAAAGGAACTGAGTGTGGTAGTACTTAACTAGATAGCCACTGTCAGGGAGTTGACGAGAAAGCTATGCAACTAAGGACAGCATGACAACCTCATCCTACACCAAAATCTTTATAATAATGGTTCTAGACCACTACCATGACCTTAAGGAGAATAAAGGGCAGAGGGTCAGAATGCTGCCATTCACTGGCTTCATTTGAAAAGGACTTTAGGGAATCCAAACTAGGGCAAGCAACAGTTGAAAAAACCTGAAGATCCCAGGAAAATATTAAGACTAATAAAGAGTATGAACATGTACATACAGCATTGAGGATGGGTCTATAGGTCATGCTGTTCTTATAGAGGTGAACAAGGTCATGGAACCCAGCCTTCGACAGAGGCTCTCTTTCTGCAGCCTTAGATACAAAGACAATGGAAAGTTGGGGAAGAGTTGGGAGGAAGCAATGGTAGCCCACTTCCAGGGTAACAACCATGATGCCAGGGCAGCAAACTGGTAGATTCTGGAGTTTTGTTTTGTTTTGTTTTGTTTTTAGCTCTCCAGGAGTCTGGCTGTGCCCTGCTGTGTCTCTCTTCTAGCTCCATTATTTATTACTTATAGCTTTAAAATCCATGACTGTGTAACTAACCCCTGTGTGCAACCTTTCTTCTCAAAGAAAGGAACTGGCTTCCACTTGCTTGGACCTAGAGTAATAGAATATTCATTAAGACACCCAGTACTCTATTATTTTAAAATTATAGATGCAACTGCCTACCAGGCTTGTTCCCTAAAACCAACACCAGTTTCTTCCTGGATAAACTGAACTCTTGAGCCTTCGAAGGAGCAGAAAGGGTATGGTAGCTGGAGTTCCGTTTTGACTGCCTCTTACTGTCTGTTTCACTTTGTGGAGAAAATGTCTGGAACAATACAATATCCTTCCTTCCCGCCCTTCTTCCTTCTCTCCCTCCTTTCCTTTCTTTCCTCTCCCCCCTTCCCCTCTCTTCTAAATCAAGATTAGTAGAATGGATTTTTAATGGATCTGCATATGACTTTCAGAGGGTCAGAGGAGCCTTCACCTGTGGTAGCTTATACACCAAAGGCTTATCGTTAAGAAAAATATATCAAAGAATCACAAGTCCCTGCCATAGTGCATCCTTACGTGCTTTATTGTTAGGGACTAGAAGAAACAACTGTCATCAAATTTAATTTTCATAAGCCAAAGATGTCACTGGATTAACCTTTCCTGGTAGTCAAATGGTTTATGGTTAATATCTTTCTAGTGTAATTAACTCGTTTACATATATTCTGGAACCTATTTATCCTGGGGATGGCACCCTAAAAATCAGCTTTTCCAGTTAAATATCCATAGTGATATGTTTTGTTTTAATTCTGCAAATACGGTATATGAAGTATTCAGAATCTAATAAGATATCATCAAAATACCATTTCCAGTTCAAAAATTGCTGGGCAGAAAAAGTATTAAGAACCACAGAATTACGTAGATTGTAATAGCTGTAACAAGAGGAATGTGTGCAGACTCCCACTTATTTAAGTCAGATGAAGTAATTTTGAAAGGATCTAAGAACTCACTGAAGAGACTGAGGTTGTGAGGGCGGATCCATCCACAGGGAACTTAGAGGTCCTGGTGGGGAGCATCAGAAACATGTGTCCATCTGGCACTCAGGCTCAGTCACCCTGGACATCTGCTCCCAGATCCAGAGCTCTGGTCGAAATTTCTGGTCAGCAGCCAGAGTCCATCTTAGAGTCACAGTAGATAGCTCAGCCCTAACTCCCAGGAGATGATCAAACTATTCCCTTTCCTCTACAGGCTTTAAGCTGAAATTGCAAAAATGATCATGTAGATCCAATGCTCTCAAACAGATGTTAATTTCAGGACAATAAATCTGCTGCTATTCTAAATCTGAGCAAAATGTGCCTTCTGGTTCTATTACAATTTTATTTTCATTAATTGTGGTGATTGGGTTTAAACCCAGAACCTTAATCATACACTCTGCATCTGACATACACGCTTGAAAATTTAAATTCACTTTAGTGACCTAGACCTCTTTTTGTCCCCCTCCCTCCCTCCTTCCTTCCTGTGATATGTGTGTGTGGGGGGGCAAAGGTGGACAACATCAGATGTCTTTCTCTACAACTGTCACCTCTCTTTGGAAACAGGGTCCCCCACTGAATGTGGGGCTTACCTTTGCGTAGCCTGGGTAGCCAGGGAGCTTGAGATCCACATGGCTCTGTTCCTTCAGTGCTGGGGTTTTAGACCTGACTGCCAAGCCTGGCTTTTACATGGGGGTCAGGGACCTAAACTCAGGTTCTCATGCGTGTTTGGCAGGTAATTTACTGCCTGAGCCATCTCTCCAGCCCACAAAATCTCATTTTACATTTGTGTTTTTATAAATAAGTCAACCAAACTGATGAGAGCAATGATGCTTAAAGTCCTCATTACAGTTACAAATTTAATCTAGGAAGTTTAAATCAAAGTTTCTCTTAGTTCTGAAGCAGAGTATCAGGAACTCCCAGCTGGACTTGAAATTGCTATGTAGCATAGGGAATGATTTAGAATTTATGATCCTCCTGCCTCCATCTCCCAAGCACTGAGAGTACAGGTATGGGGCACTGAACCCACTTTAGGGACTGGGGTGAAACTTAGGATCCCATGCATACCAGAAAAACACTCTAATGACTGAGCTATACCCCCAGCCCAAGACTTTTTTTTTTAACTTCATTCAAAAGTGTTTCCTTGTTAAGAACGTACTTTTTTCTTTGAGTTTCAGATTCTGAAGCTGACATGTAGAGCCACTGGAGGGCCCCTTGGAGGCTGTCAGTTGGCTCTATCAGAGCCACGCTGTGACTTAGAGGTAGCATAAAGGTGAGTACTCTTAACAGGGGAGGCCTGGCAGAAAGAGAGGCGAAATCATTCTCCCTCCAAGCCCAATTGGGACATGTGACAGCAATCTGTCAGCTTCCTCTGAGATAAATGACATGATCAGTGGTCGTAATAACCTGCTAGATAGGAAATTAAAGAATTAAAAGAAGGCAGATTTCAATCACAATAATGGGAAACCTCCAAGCTGCTTCTAATTCATCTTCAAGCACTGGCTTTCCATTGCTAGATTAAAAACAGAACAGCAGGGGTCAAGTGTGTAAGGGATGAAGAAGCACAAGCTTCTTGGAACCACGGCAATGTTAAAGATGGACCAAGGGCAGGGGCTTCAAACTGACCACGAAACGGACGGAGATACCGATGACAGAAAACACAATTACCAACCCCTCTCTGGACTGCAGCTAAGGAAGCCAACAGGTAGACTGATTGCAATCCCCACTCTCCCGGTCCCACGCTGAGGGCTAGCCAAAGCAGCTCCTAGCGGATGACAGTTCAGCCGCACAGTGTAATTAATGGTTAAGTATTTGCTCGTTGGCTGCTCTGAAAGAATGGAGTGGAGCTTCTACGCAGAGGGCCACATCACTTTGAGAAGGGTGCACCCTTACAAGGAACAAAGGCTAGGGGGTTCTTTCTTTCCCCATGTTTTCCATGGCATATCTTCCTAGTTTTTCCTCTTTGCAGCTCCTCTCCCAGCTGCTGCCGAGACCTCCAGCTTGCCTGTCCCCCTTTTTTTCTCCAGTAAGACTGACACCGAGCTAACTCCCATGTTTGTTCTTAAATGACTTTATCAACTAGCCCAAGTCCTGCAAAGAGGACTCTGCACCTCCCAGTGGCACTCTCTCTGGGCCCAGCCCAAGAACAAATGAAGTGTTTTCCTATATCCACTCATGCATTCACCTCAATCCCCTTTCTGCTAGTGGGTGTGTAGCCATTCAGCTCAAATGGCCGTCAAGGAGGCTTCTGCCTTACCCAGCAGCAGGGCAAAGCCAGGCACCTGTCATAGGATCAAATCTCAAACTCTTTGGCATGCCATAATCTACCCAAAGGTTTTGAGAGAAATATCATCTATGAAGGACTGCCTGCAGGACAATTATTCTCTTGCTTTCCAAGATAGCATGAAAGTCATCCTTGGATGGACAAGTCTGCCAGCATAGTACACACGGGGAGTGCATTGTTTCCTTCCAAACAAACTTTCTCTAAATATTAGAAATGATGATGATCGCAATGTGTACTTGTTAGAGAATTAACATGGACTGAAATATCACCCCTCACAGACTTTTTAAAAGTCTGTAGACGGTTACATGAGGAATATGTATGACTCCATTTTTTCAGACAAAAACTGAGTCACAGATAGGTTAAATAACTTGCCTAAAATAAGTGGCATAGCTGAATTTTGAACTTAGGTTTTGAACTCTGACTTATGCCCTTGGTTTTCACTGAGAAGCTAACATAATAATTACTATGAAGCTGTTGCTGAAGACGATGCAGTTTAGGTACTAACTATACTTTTTTGCTTTATCTTACTTTTCTCCATGTAGTTTACTTCTAAAATAAATTATGTTACAAAACACATACTTCTGAATGTAAACAAAGTATTTTGAGAGTCAGAGTAGAATATATATCAACAAAGAATGGACATATTAATTACAGGCCAACATAATAATGATCTAGAATCGAAGGAACAATCATTTTTCATAGAACCATACAGAACAGCACCAATTAAGACTCATAGTGTGGGTTACATGTATAAATTAAAATTTTCTAGTAACCACATGAAAAGATATAGTTAAACTAATTTTAATAGTAAATATATCTACAACTCCAAATCTAAAGTGTTTTAAAATATAATTGATAATAAAAACTAAGATGTGTATCTTTCCTTTTTCACACTAAGGTTTTGAAGGAGGTTGCCTTTTCCATTATGGCACACACCTCACCGTAGAGCAGCTCAGTAACCACAGCTGACAGTAGCAGCCATAGTAGACCGAGCAGAGAGAGACAGAGAGCAAGTTAATGCCATGCACTTACATCTGGTCGGAAGTCAGGGTTACATACTAAGGCAAAGTCAGTACCACTACCTTGGACTGCCTCTCAGGCTTCTTTTCACTGTCCATTCTTGGAAGGTAAATGCAAATTCATTTCCATCGCCCTTCTCTGTCACTTCCCCAACATCATCTACATCTATCTGACACACACACACACACACACACACACACACACACACACACACACGATTGTCCATTGAATCTAAACTGGGACTTCTCAACGGTGCCGTAAGCAGGTACTTCACCGACCACTAACCAGTGTTCACCACTCTACGGTTCAGGATGGACTATGGCTGACCCTACAGCTCAGGCGTGTACCTCTAAGGGTTAACAAGCTCTGCCTACCTGATGTTGCTTCTGCTTGCTCTCTCCTAGGGTGCTTGTGCAAATCATAATGTCTATTGTGCATACTAAATCATATTTCTTCCCTGGGATTATTTATTATGATCATTATCCTCATCTATTTTCTCTGCATGTCTCCCGCTGCTCATGTATCTGAGTTATTATGTCCTCACAAGAAACGCAGCAGAGTAAACTGTGTGGGTAAGAAAAGCGACAACCAAGACTAACTTTACTGAAAGTCTTACTCTTTAAAGTCTGACAGTACAGGTTGGAACTGACTGATGACCTCAACAGATTCTAACAACCTAATGGGAACTCGACAAAAAGCCTAAGAGATAAGATTATTAGCTCTCTCTGAGGCTCTTCTGCTGCTTTTTCTGAGAAAGCTGCAGGGGTCGAGTCCATTCCCCACACTTCCCTGTTAGTGCTCTGGGATGCTCTCTGCAGCCGCTGATGTGACCCCCGGCAGCAGGGCCCTATGAGACCAACTGCATGAAGCTCCTACAGGATGGTGATTCTGTTCTTTTGAGAACGCCTTGTTTAAGGCTCTGGGTCAATCATCAACCCACATAGGAGAAGAGAAGTCGATCTGCTTAGTGTTATCAATTACTCTGGTAGCTCACAATTTGTTTTTGTGAAACAGAATAGTTTTCTCTTGTTTTTCTATTTCAATTATATAAGCTCTTTTTACCTCACCAAAATTCTACTAATAATTACTAGTGACTATAACATGACAATTCTAGTTGGAAACTATTTTGTGGTGTTGGGACATGTAGAGTTATTTCTGTCCAGGGAAGGCGTGGGAATCAAGAATGAATGTTTTACAAAGACAGAGGAGAGACAGCTGGGCTCACAGCCCAGGTGTGGCTCAAAAATGGTCCTAACTGTGGTAACCAGCATACTGGTGACACCACCTCCAACTCACTGTGATTTTTCCTACAGTACCGTCAGCACCCACCACCAACCACCAAGGCAAGCGTGGAGACACCTGGAACTCAGTTAAACACTCCCTTCTGTGGGCTTCTATGCTCAAGAGTCTCTTGGGTTAAGCCTCAAAGTCAGGCCAGGGCAGCTCGCTACTGAAAGGTCAAGGGGGGGAGTGTCATCTCCCAGGTGGGGCTGCCCTCCACTGTGCCTTTGCTCAGCTCCTGCTCTCCTGGAAGTGGCTTCATTATTTTTCCCTGAGTATGGTTAATAGTGCTTAGTTTTAAGGTACAAAACAGTTGTATGCTTCTTTAAAAACACAGAGAGTTAAATTGCGTAAGTTGCTTGTAGTCTCACATGTATTTAATTTTCTTGAGCGTCTCAGACCATATGGAGGGCATTCGCTCCTTTATCCATTGTAGAGCATAAGTGAAAACCAGACTAGCAAACACCAATTAAATCTGAAATTCTCTCTCCTCACTCCCAAGACAATGAAACAGTAGCGCACAACTTATGAAGAGGGCAAGTGATCCCCAAGTGATTTTACAGTTTTGTAGAGTTGGTGTTTCTTTCCTACTCTACAACATCAAGAGGAACACTAGGAGTTAACATCATCCCTCAAGTTTGTAAAGAACTGTAGTCACTATTAGATGTGTTGGCAACCAGAGTTGGCATACTGTGCTGAAGAGGCACCTAGAGAAGAGGCACAAGCCCCATCTTGGTCCTCACTGACTTATGTACAACCTGAGGAGAAAGGACCAGATTTAATGAAGGTGGAATTCTTCATCAAGAGAGGATGATATCACTATCTGTCTTCCCAATCTTATTAAAAGGATTCAATGAAGTCAGTAAATGTAAAGCCATTTTGTACGAAGTAAGTAATAACAACAGCAACAACTGCAAATTGTCATCATTAGTATTTTTGAATACTACCTATGAACCAAGTACATACAAAACATTTACAATGCTTCATATGCACTCTTATTTAATGCTCACACTAGTCTTACAAGTTAAGAAGTGTTATCACACTCATCTCATATGAGAAGACAGGCAGAGATGGTTGAACAACTTATCTAGGATTTAAAAGCAGGAACTAGGAGAACTGAGATTGAATGCAAGACATATGGGCTTTTGGGCTTTATGATTTACTGCCTGCCTACATAAATCCATGGTGCCAAATGAAAAATTAACCTATTAGATGAGGATGTGGAAAGAGGGAAGGCATTAATATTGTGACTAGCCAGGCCAACAGAACAAATCAAAATCCAACAACCAAACAAATCCAACACAAAACTAAACAAACCTGAAATAAGTCTAAAATATCACACAGATGCATTTAAATAAGTATTCAATGAAATTGTTCATGTGACTGTTAGCAACCGAATGGATGTATCCAAAGCTATAACTAAAGACAGTCATAAACAAATGGTCCAATTTTTTGGATCACAACCCTGGGCTCATCACTTGGTTTTAGAAACACGATCACTGATCTTGGGTAACAGCAAAAGAGGGGCAGAGTTATCTACAGAAAGAAATGTATATTCTTAATTACCCAACCGTACCTGCTACCTGTAGAAAACCTACTGGCTTCCTTTTCTTTTTCTTTCCATTTCTTCCCCTTGTTGGGATTCCTTCGCAAAGGTGCCCTACAATAACAGCACATGGTCAGAAAGAGAAAGTTAACGTCCCCCTTTTAATCTTCCCTTATGGAGAACTACTTTCCCAGAAGGAGGTGCTTACCCCAGATCCACAAACTTCTGCTTAATTTTTCCTCCTTGCAACACGAATGAACTGGATGTTCGTAGTGATTTAGGACAAATGACATGGTCTAGGACATGGACACATAGGGATAACATCAGTTTGCATTATATTTTAAGCCATGAACCAAAAGTCAGTGTATCTCTGAATCTAAGGGTTTTGCCTGAATTATTCAATGTATAAGAACATAAAGGCTGTCCTGTCTACAGGACACAGAAACTCAGCCATGATGAGGAACACTGAGCAGACCAATAAAGTTCTACTGAATAGACACGTGAGAATGAATGAATTGAGCAAGAATAAATACTTTCACTTCAAAGCAACTGGGGTGGTGACTTTGCCTGTCTCTGGCTCACTCAAGGCATTGAAGGCCTATGTTTCTTCTTCCATGGCTTTCTCGGTTTCGGGTTTCCCTGCTTTCTGAAGGAACCCAGTGGAATCTCAAATCCCAATAGAAAACATCACCGCTTAAAGTCTGAGAGCTTCAGAAAGCAACTAAGAATGAAACTTTCCTTTCTGAGGACTAGAAAGATGGCTCAGTGGTTAAGAGTACTGACTGCTCTTCCAGAGGACCTGGGTTTAATTCCCAGCTCTCACCTGGCAGCTCATAAGTGTCTGTAACTCCAGATCCAGGGGATGCAACACCCACGGCAAAGCACCAATGCATGTAATTTTTTTTTTAAATTTCCTTCTGAGCTCTCCCATACTTAATGACCCCTGGCCGGTTCTAGGATAGAGCAAGGCAGAACGTGGGAGAGGGGGGGCTTCTTGAACAGAAGCCAAATATATCTTTGAAAGGCTCTTTTAAGAGCTAGTTGTGAGCACAACTCTCTGGCCTACCATAACACAGAAGATGCCCAAATCTTCTCAGGGCTTGGAGCTGACTGAACTGCACCCTCATGAATGATGCTGGCACTATTCTACAGTGTAGCAGCCATGGTGAATAGGAGAGTAGAGATGATGTTCATCAGAAGAAAGGGTTTGAGAATGGAGTTCAGTGTGAGTGCAGGGCCAGGTTCTATCGGTGGCGTGTCCCCCACCTTTGACAAGGCAGATGGAACTCTGCAGCAAAGAGTGTTGGGTGCCACATTTCAGCACATTCAATCCTTCGGGATGACTGACAGATAGCTTTTTAAATTGGATGTGCTTGTGTATGCAAAACTTCCTTCTTAATTGCTAGTATCTGCATCTAGCTCAAATTTTTTTAATATCTAGGGATCCTAGCATGGAATGTATAGAAAATAGACATCATAAGATAGTGTTCAATTAACCTTAGAGGTTAATTGTTTAAATTTTTGTTTACCTCAGGACAAATTTCTAAACAGACACCAGTACACACAGTTCATGTTCTCCAATGCACATCCAAATCTTGCAATAGCATAACACGTGGACAGACACTCTAAGCATGCCTAGCTATGAGCTTCATATTGTTAGTTAATGGTTCTCAGCAGATTACAGGAATTCTTTGAAATGTACTTGATGGAATACAAGAGTCAGATATATGTCTGTGTCAAAAATCCACTTCTTGCTTCAAATGTTTATTATGAATATTTGCATCATTATTCTTTCACTAACGGAGTTAAACAGCCATAGATGTGACTCAAATCCATTAAAAAAAATGGGTACCTTCTAAGGTGATTTTGCTAATGGATACTTAAAAAAAAAGAGCAGGTTTTCAATTTTCTTAATAGAAGCCAAAGAAACAAATGAGATGAATTCTTCCATATCAATCCTAAAGAACTCTTAAGGGCCAGGACAGTGCAAAGTTAAAAGGAGCCTGCTTAATTATTTTCTGAATTAGGGGCAGCTGGAAGCTGGAAGATGTTTTAATGAGTGGTAAGAGGAACAGCTGAGACAATGTTCATGGAGACTCTCTGTAACCTGTTAGTGTTGTAGTTATTTGGACATCTTAGGACTAAATGCCTGATTCTGCCCATCACAGAGCTTGTTGCTAGGCAACCTCACATCATTATCTCACACATTTGCCAAAACATGTTTCAAGGGACATCGAAAAGAAGAGGCAAGATTAAAGAATAGTGCCCTTACCATTTAAATCATTTAAATTAATTGTTAATATATGTTAGAACTTTAGGTCTGAGCTGAAGAAAGGCACGGATTATATTTGTGCATATTTATTTATTTGTGTCATGTAAGATGTTCATTAGGTTTTAGAAACTGCCCCATATGACTTTTGTGACCCATCAGAGGCTCAGGCACTCAGACCAAGCATGTCAACTTTAAACTTCAGCAACTTGGCTCTTATTTCCCAAACAAACATATGCTTTCTTGATCTCTAAATCCCAAAGTCCCTTCTGGGTGACATCTATCAGCTCAGTCAGACAGTTGACTGTCCCTTCTTTTATGACGAGATTGTCCAGATCCACTTCCTGACCTGGTTTCTCTCCTGAACTCTGGACTTCCTCTATTTAAAAAGAAATTAATCATATTTCCCATACAGTGCCTCTGATTTCTTAATTGCTGTTAGCGATAAGACATGTGTTCTGAAGCCACAGCCCGTGATTAGCTTTGGCTCAATTTCTTCTCAGCACTATCTAACCACCACAGGTTTTATGGCTCTTGTACCAACCTGCCCTGTACTGCCCATGCTTCCTCTTCACAGGCATTCTCCTGAGTGTCTCCTTTCTAAGTTCCCTTATATCCACTGTCCTTTCCTATCTAGTCTCTTCTCAGAATAGTCTATGGGTCCCTAGTAATAGGGGGAGGTATCTAAGATACATAAACAGATAAAACCTATTAGCTTTACACTCAGTCTCGATATCTTGAAGAAACCAACACTGTCAGTCCCTGAGATAGCCCATTCCTTTGAATTCCTGTGTGAGTCTGCTCACACCAGCACTCTATCTTCCATGCCTTCTTACCCGCCCTTTCTTCCTTTTTTTAAGGCCCTGGGTGTTTACTTTAGTTGCACTCTCTGTATGGTTACCAAACAGAGCAGCACGTTCTCCATTCTCAGCAATAATGTGATATTTATACATCAACTCAGAGGCCTAGTGTAATACATGAATAAGGAGGGAACTGTGTAAGGATTTTTCAAGGCTGGAAAGTTTCTGAAAGTGCTCTATGTCAGGCAGTGTGTTAAAGATCAAACAGAAACTTAGAATACTAACTTCTAGAAGTTGAGTAGAAAATTGATAGTGAGTGCTTAATTTGCTCTAGTTCACCTTGACTGGACAAAGCCTCACTGCGCTGTAAACTAGAGATAAAAACTCGGTATAAAGCTGCTCCCGCAAGGCAGAAAGGAAGCATTTTCAAGCCTCTAATGGCTACAGAACCATTTTACAACCCCTGGAGAGATACCACCCTGGCATCTGCTAACCTAAGTGGCATGCATTTGGTTACAGGTGAGTTACTGAGGCAGCGGTTATGGGATTCCTCTGTCTCCACTTCTACCGATGTCCCTCAAATATGAGGGAAAATGATGGCATGCAGGTGGAGACACAGACACATTTAGAAAGCTTCTCATTCCAGTAGAGTGACCAGAGCTATCCTTAGGGCTGCAATAACTATCTTATAAGTAACGCGAGAGACTGAAAGTGATGATGTGTGACTTATTAAAAATCTGGACAAATGGCAACCAGTGACTTAGCCATATCCAGAGCTGAGAAAGCAGTGGTGAGAGAGATGAAGCGTACCCCTCTCCCCATGAGCCAGAGAGTAAATACTTTATGTTGGGAAGATGTTCAGTCTCTCTCTCAATCACCCTGCTCTGCCATGAGAGCTTGAAGGGATGCTTAGGTGACAGAAAAAGCTACAGTCTAGTGAGACTTCCCTTCCACACAGGCGCCTGTTGGCTTTGGCTACTGAACTCCATCCAGATGACTGTGCTATTTGTCTGCAGAGGCAAACTTAGTAATCTGTCCAGAGGCTTCCCAGCACCACTTAAATGCCACACTCCTTCTGAAGAACCAAGAAGACAAAGAGTAGTATGCTAAGTGAGAAAATGTTGGCTCACACTTAACTACTAAGCTAGGCATTCTACACAAAGGGGCGGACTCGGGAGTAACAGGGAAAACCGCTGTGGAATCAGTGGCTGGCCCAAGGCCAAATTAGGGAGGTAAGATTTATGTTGAGTGCAGTGCTAGCCAAATTTGTACCTGGGAGCATCACAAAGCCCTTTTCAGTTCCCTCACTGAAAAGCCAGTGAGATCTAAGAGCCATCCACTGAGAGTGCCAGAGGTTAGCCACACCAGAATTTTCAAGTTCACCTCAGAGTAGTGGATCTGTCTCATACAGTAAGGAAAGGAAGGCATTGCAGAGCCTTATTCTCTGGAGTTTTGTTTATGAAGGAGGACCCCATTGTGCTAACCTTTGTTGGACCTGCCTTGGCAATATCATCAAAAGGGAGCGTGGGATTTCCTTAGCGTTTGAATGACACTTAGCTCTGTGTATTGGGAAGTGGGAGAACCATGAGGAAGCTTTAGTGAAACGCGCAGGTCATCAGCACACTCATGGCACATTCTGTGTACACAGCCAGTTAATTTGATCCTAATTTTATGCTCACTGAGTAACTCTGTGATTTATGAATCCACCACCTAGGAGAACATGGAATGAATAAAGGCTAGTAGTTATTATGTTAGCTGATCCCCCCAAATAAGCTAGAACATTACTGTTTTGGTATAGAATGTTTCCAAAGACTTGAGCTGCATGAACCAGCACTTTGTGCTTGATTAGATGTTCATATATTACTGAAATTGGGGATCTAGAAAACTGACAACCAGAGTCCTGATTCCTCAGAGCCCTGACAGCCAGTGGATGAGACGTCTCTGACGTCCTGCAAGGTATGGAGAACCTGACAGCAGAATGCCAAGAAAGAAAGTGCTTTCCGACATGTTGATTGTGGGGTGGCGAGGGGTCCCAGAGAGGACAAGTCTGCCACCAAACAATCTGGGGGAGGCTGGAATGGGGGTACAGTGAGAATGGGCATCAACAGAGAAACACGCCGAGGAAGAAGATGAGGAAGAGGGAGTTATGGAAGTCTCTAGCAGGCAGCTCCCTAAGGGAAAGGACGCAATTCTGATTGTCACTGAGGACACATCTGGATGCAGGTTAGGAACGCAGTAACTGTGCGATGGACACAGACCTAAATGTGAATGACCGTGAGGGCAGAGGAAACTCTCACTACAAACGTTCAACAAGGAAAAGAAAGAATTAAGTGACAACACCCCTTCTGTCTGTTCAGTTAGTGTGTGATGGTTAATTGTGTTAGCAACTTGACTACATCTGGAACTGGTCACAGGATTGTGGGGTATTGCTATGACAGACTGACCACGTTGTTTTGGGGTGGACTGTGTTTTGGAAAGGACTTTGGAAGTTTGGGCTAGAGAAGCCATTGAGTGTTGAGAGCTCAGGGGGCTGCTCTGTGGGAGCTGGGAAGAATGTTGAGAGCAGGTCCTAAGCGGCACTCCTCACTGCCTCTGCATCAGTTCCCGCTTCGAGATGCATGCCCTGTGCCTCTCGCCTTGACTTCGCTGGACAACACAGGGCTAACTGAAAGTATCAGATGAAATTAACACCCCCTCCCCATGTTGCTTTTGGTCATGGTGTTTTAGACAGCACCAGGAACCGTGATCAAGACAGTATGTTACACCAGTCATCACACTTGTCCATCTACAAAGCAGGGACTCCAGAATAGTCCAATGAACTGCTCTATTCAGTCACCCAGAAGTCTGGTCATCTCAGGAGAACTGAAGAAGGGAAAACCCGAGATCTCGGTCTCTGGAGAAGAGACCTGTGCCCTGGTCTTTGGTCCTGGTTAATTCCAAAGGAGACACAGACACAAACAAGACAGCTCTATGGAAACGGAGAGGTTCTCATTCTCTGCTTAAGGGACCATGAGGCATGCCTCAGATCAGCAAATCACTCTTCTGCCAACTTCAAAACAGCCACCAATTAGAAGGAAAAGGCAGCATGAATCCAGACAAGACTGAGCTGCTTTTAAAAGTCCCCGTGAGTTTTCACGGGTCAGAGATCCACTGTCTGATCATCCTGCCTTTGAATAGCACGTTGTGGGGCGAGGATACAGCTCAACAGTAGGATGCTCGTCTAGCATGTGCAGAGCTCTGAGTTCAGTCTCCAGCACTGGGAACGGCCAAATAAACAAGCCAAGCAACACAGACTCACACAGTGGGGCTCACACAGTGGGACTCCAAGAATGGGCAGCTCTGGAGAAAGAGCTTCTGCCTTGGCTTTCTCTCAACAACCATCTGCACGCCCAGGAGACATTGGAGCGCGAGCTGCAAGCCTGTCTTTATAAAGGTACTATCACAACCATGCTTTAATTAGGGAAAATTCTGAAGCCTTCCCTTCTTTTCAACATAAGCCAACTTCACGATCAAGCTGTTCTCTAACCTGACTACCATGTTTGATTGTTTAGTGGGCCTGACAGAATTCTTTTGCCTCCTCTAGTGTCCTAAGGACTCGGTTTGCCTCCTGGACTGTTTCTGAAGAGCTGTACACAGGACTGGTCTTTGAAAGATAACCGTAGCAGCGGACAGGCTCAGGCAAGGAAACCCAGGGGAACGCCAATGCTGACCACAAGTCACAAAGCACGGTAGAGTCAGCTGGGTGTCTGCGTTCACAAGGACCTGTAGAAAGCTTGTAATTTAGGATCTGGCAGAGACAACACGTGTGGAGCTCCGAATGTGCAGTCATACGCAGTTGCACCGCAGTGCATGAGTCTGGTGCATTCCATGGCTAGTGCTATCCAGCAGATTCTTCCCATCTAGTCTGAGGATCTGGCAATTTTGGCAATTAATTTAAAATGTCATCTCTCTGATCATTAGTGAAGCAGTTCTCCTTTTCATAACTTATAAACCAATTAAAATCTTCTCTTCAGGGAACCAAGAGTCTATTTCTTCAATCTGTTTTTCACTTTTTAAAAAGAATCAGTTCTTTGGAGCTATTTGAATATTAAAAGACCACCCATTAACTTTCAGTGCTTTTGACAGCTAAAATCCAGAATATTTATGATGCAGACACGTAATATCAGTAAAAGTTAACTGAACAGCCTGTTGCTGACCCACCCCCTGTAGTGTATAGGACCAAGATCCCCTCGCCCGCGTCCTATTACTACTCCTGACCCCTCATTTCGAGGGAGCAGACTTGGCCATTCCCATTTGCAATGCCAAAATCTTGTCTACGTGTCTAAATGATCTACCCGCGTTGCTCTCTAGGATTTAATTAGGTAGCTCTGGTATCTGCTTTGTCTGCTGATGTCTTCTCCTAGCGGATCACAGTCATATTCTTGCAGTTCTCTAGTTTTCCTGCTGCACGGGTTCATTCTATGAATCCACTGCAATTCATCTGTCCATTTTACTGGTTTTGTTATCACACACCAGGGCTGCATGAACACTTTTTTCCCCGGTGTGTGTTTATGTGACTGTGTGTGTATGTATGTCTGTGTGTGTGTTTATGTGACTGTGTGTGCATGTTTGTGTGCTTATGTGACTGTGTGTGTTATGTAACTGTGTGCATGTCTCTGTGTGTGTGTTTATGTGACTGTGTGTGAATGTCTGTGTGTGTGTTTATGTGACTGTGTATGCATGTCTGTGTGCGTATGTCTGTGTGTGTTTATGTGACTGTGTGTGCATGTCTCTGTGTGTTTATGTGACTGTGTGCATGTGGAAGCCAGAAGTCAATGTCATGTGTCTTTCTTCAGTTCCTCTCCACCTTCTTTTGTGAGACAGCGTGGACCACTGTGCCTGGAGCTCACTGACTTAACAAGACAGGCTGCCAGTGAGCTCTGCCCTGCACTCACTCCACCTCCCTAACCCCAGCACTGTGATTACAGATTATGCCATCACGCCTAGCTTTTTCCTTGATGCTGTAGACCCAAACTTGAGTCCACATGCTTGGGTGGCAAACATTTCATCAACTGAGGCAGCTCTCCAGTCTCTGCTACAAATACTTTTATATATAATTCTAAATAGATACAGGTTTCACTTGGAAGTTACATACATATAGACCTATTGTTATTTAAATGTATATATTCATAGATAAGCGCCAATAAAATATTATTTGTAAAACAAGTTTCAGAGTCATGTGATTAGTAATAGTATGTTTTTGTAAAAATGCAAGTATGTAAACCAAAATAAATATACATCAAAACAATTTCTATTCTGTATATATGTATAAATTAAATTACTTATACAAAAAATAACATAACCAACACTACATTGTTACTTTGCAGGAACACATCATATGTAAAGGAAGGAACATCATGCTTTATATATCTCTCCACTGTTTAATTTATTTAAACACAGATTTATTGTTTCTACATACCAAAATAAATGATTAAAAAGACAAGTATAGGAGCCAGAAAGGTTGCTCAGTGGTTAAGAGCACTGGCTGCTCTTGTAGAGGACCTGGGTTCAATTCCTAGCACCCACATGCTGGATCACAACCATCCATAATTCCAGTTCCAGTTCTCTGAGATCCTCTCTAACCTTTGAGGACAATGCATGTGCATGGCACATGACAGGCCTGCAGGTAAAACACCCATGCACATAAAGTAAAAAGAACTCTCTACCTACTCTGAATTTATCTTTACCATTGCTATTCTGTCACACACACTGCAATGCTAATCACTGGAATGATTATTAGAGTAATAACATCACAATCATTACTGTGAAAACGGATTTAAATAAAAGTCAATCAATTGGTAATGGCTGACATCATTCTATCCCACATTTCCCCTCATGTGGCTGTGAGTGTTCACAGACACTCGAGGCTCTAGTGTACACAGCCGTTAGACAGTTCCCTTAATAGTCAACTTGGAGAAAGCTAAAGGGATAAAAATACCAACTGACAGGCAAACTAAAAACAAACAAAACAAAATCCACGGAAGTGGGTGTTCTCTCATCCCCTAAGATAGAAGGAAAGCAGCATGTAAAGCCCTATGCCCATGCAAAAAAATCTAGTTTTATACTGTAGAAACTGAGATATTTTATACTGTAGAAACTGAGATATTAGTGATGTCAGATGATACAGAAGTGGAAAAGCAAAACAAAATCCAAATACCTTTTTCATGTACTATTTTCTTGGTTGCTTGGTGGTGGCAAGGAGAGTCTTCTGTATTGTGATCAGATTTTGAAGGTGAGGAGGGTGAAGTGTCTCCCGAGACGGAGGAGAACGTGTCTCTTTCTGGCATCCGTGACCCTTCTTGAGACTCAGTCTCGTGGCGAGAGGAGAAGGCCCCATGGCTAGCCACAGGGGTGAGGGGTGCAACACCAGAGTCTGACTCTGGAGAAGAAGCTCTCCAACCCTCGGGCAGAAGCGGTTTGGTAACGTGTGTGTGGTTATAGAGACTGTCTGAAGGCTGTTGGTATAAGAGGTTACAGAGCAAGTTACACTACCGTCAATGGTGTGCAGCACTTCCTTTGAGAGGGACCGGCCTTTTCTCAGGGAAAGAAACTTCTGTATGCTGGCTTATGTCGGAGAATGCACAGTTCATAACTACTCACCAACAAATAATGCAGCTAACAAAGCCACCTAAATATGCAGAAATGATTACTTGAATGTTCATTATTTCCCACAGGTTAAACCAATGGCTGAATATCAAAGGTACCATCATGAAATATGGTAATATGGATAGTTTTTGGCTACCCTACTGAATGAATAGAGAAAAGAATTAAATGGCAACCATATAGCAAATTGAATACAAATTCAGGAGACAAAGACATAAACTCTTCCAGTTCTTCCAAGTAGGGTACTCTGCTAGGGAAATGGCCATCACGTTCAACACGCATCGACAGCCAGCAGGAGCGCTCACCTTCCGTTCCAGGCTGTCCTCCCCATCAGTTGAGCTGACACTGTCATACAGCCGTGTCCGCGTGGGCCTCTGGCGCCTGTTCTTCACAGAGAGTTGGGCCCGAGTTTTCAGTGCTTTCGAATCCAGGCGCTCTGTCTCTGGGACCGCTTCATTCAAGTCTAGGAAGAGTATTGCAAAACAATCTGTGAGGGAAAACGCTGGAGACGATTGGCAGAGACCACAGCCGCTAAAACCCAATCGCTGGTTATCAGTGTCCAGGGGGGCAGGTGACAATTTTTCCAGCTTGTCCAATGCTTCATAGGTGACACCAAAGATCTATCACCTAGAGAGCATAAAACCTTTCTGCAACACAACTGAAAGAGCCAAGGTTTGCATTTGCCAATGGACACACAAGTTGGGGCATGATACCATAGATACTCTATGGATGAAAGTCAAGTTGCCAAAGTCAAGTGCGGGTAACAGAAAGTGACCTTGACCACAAAAATTCACTAATAGACCATACAACTTTGGTCTTAATAGTGTCTGAATATCTAACTTGTTCCCCTTTGAACTCTGTTTAAAAATAACAACAACAACACTAGAACAGAATGTATTTAATGCCAGATAAATAATCTGTTTCCTCAGAAGAAGGCCTGGCTACACAGACAAACAGTTGAACTAGCCCAAGTGTGGAACTCCTGGCACTATGAAGAGAGAAGGCGAAGGATTTCATCTTCTAGCGTTAGTTTCCAGGTACAGTCCAAGTATTTGCTGATGCCCCTGTCTCATTTCTTTCTCTGGATACTTTCTCTTCTCACCACAAACTATATTAGTTTCCCACAGAAAACTGTTTACATCTAAAGAGAAGCTGCAGAGAGGCCTCAGTGGTTACAAGCATTTGCTGCTCTCATACAGGTCCCAGGTTCAATTCCCAGCACCCACATGGCACCTCACCATCATCTGTAACTCCAGTTCTAGGAGATCTGATGCCCTCTTTTTACTTCCCCAGACACTAGGCACACATGAGACCCAGGCAAGACATAATGTATAACTTCAAAACAAATAATGTAAACATCAAGTACAAAAGACTCCAGGAGAAAAAGATAACAGAGAAGGAAGGAGGGAGAAACAAAGCAAAACAAACAAACAAAAACGGCAGCAGCAGCAGCTGGGCATGGCAGAACCTGACTGTCACCTCAGCGCTTAGGAGGCTAAGGCATGAATTCAAGGTCAACATGGGTGTGCCTCTGTTAGAAAACCTCAGACACAATAAAGGATAGGAAAGAGGTAGAAGGGGACGAAGAATAATAAAGGCTACCAAGAGCACTCCTGTGGTCTTCTCTAACTAGTTCTTAACACTTTCAATCTTGGTAAGTGTATATGGGGGAGAGGGAAGTTTAACCATGAATATACCTGTTGAGGTAGTAGTACCTGGGTATTAGAGTAAAGTATTAGTAGTATTACAGAAAAAGTATTTATTGGAAGTGGAACTACTCTTGACATAGATATACATGATCATTTACTGTAAATAAAATAGTTTGATGATTAATACTATCTCACCTTTTCAGGATGGCAGTTGTGGTGGTATTGTGTTCCCCAAAATATTGTGTACCTTAATAAACTTATCTGGGGTCAGAGAACAGAAAAGCCACTAGTTAGGCAGTGATAGCACACGCCTTTAATCCTAGCATTCCAGAGGCAGAAATCCATCTGTTCAAGAATACAGCCAATGGTGACTCACGCCTTTAATCCCAGAAAGCGAGCCTTTAATCCTAGGGAGTGATGGTAGAAAGCCGAAAGGTATATAAGGCGTGAAGACCAGAAACTAGAAGCATTTTTGGTTGGTTAGGCATTTGGCTGGTTAGGCATTTGGCTGGTTAAGCTTCAGGCTTTAGAGCAGCAGTTCAGCTGAGAGCCATTGGGATGAGGACACAGAAGCTTCCAGTCTGAGGAAATAAGACCAGCTGAGTTGACCAGGTGAGGTTAGCTGTGGCTTGTTCTCTGATCTTCCATTTCACCCCAATACCTGGCTCCGGGTTTGATTTTATTAATAAGAACTTTTAAGATTCATGCAACAGGCAGTCATTAAACAAAGTCACTCTGAGGGAATTAATTAAGTGACCCTGAATTAAAATGTATTAGAATAAGCAAATAAATCAGTTATAGAAAACTAATATACACTTGTACTAATAGAAAAGAATTTCGATGACAATCATTAGCCTGGGTAATTCCTTTTTATAGTATTATCTTAAAGATGTGCTCTAAACATATCATAAAACACAAACATTAAGGGCCTCAGGTGCTTTCTCTCTTACTTATAAAGCTGAGCACTTGGCATATAGTTCTAACAAATAAAATTCAATATGCATTTGCCCAGGAGACACATCACTGAATGACAATGTTTACAGAAAGTCTGACTTTTCATTTCCTCTACTTGAGAGAGGGGTGAACACTGGGGGAAGCCAGGCCACTCGGGTGAATAGAAAGAATGACTAGATGTTTTCTAATTAGTAGTCTCTTTCTCTTTTACATGCCAATGGAGGGGAAGAAAAAGTCGCCTTCATCACTTTAATTTCCTTCCTCCAATAAAATCTATATTTGCAGCTGCCCATTAAGAGTTCATTAGTTGTGATAATTGGGAGAAAGTCAACCTTACAATTTCTGTTTACATATAAAAATGCAGAACACCACACAGATGAAAGCAATAATATAATTAAAAATACCACAGTTCATGCACGTCTTCCATCCTTTCTGTCTCGGAGTTGGATTGCATGCTCTGTAATGCAAAGCACTGTCACACGCTCCACCTCATTTGTTCCTTATTATAGACCCATGAGACAACAAGCAAGCAGGTTGTTTCCTCTCCTGAAGCCCAGAAAATTGGAGTGGCTTGCCCTCCTCCATACAGCTAGCTGATGAACTGCTGGGATCACTGCGGTGCTCTGTCTCCCAGGCTACTAGCTATCCACTCCAATTTAGCTAGTGCTGAAAAGTCAATACTGCAAGATTTTAATACCATGGAGATGGTGTTTGAAAAGTTACAAAATCATGTACGATGGGACTAATCTAGGAAATTGAGCTCTCTAGCATCTATTCTGTGTTTATTAGAGAATGTAGAAAGGGAAGACTTGAAAACTATGGACAGATTACTTCACAGATGGTCTCATGACTGGTTGGCTTGGCAACAACTTTGGGTAGTAGATGACAAAGGTACCCAAGGAAGATGCACATCCCACTTTTGTAAATATGGTTCCTTTGGCAATAGAATTCTGGCTTTTAAACAGAGCTCAGCATCCCACCTACAGGACTGCAGATGCTACTCCATTGCTTATACTGAGCAAATGAAATAAGAGGAATTGAGAAGGACTCATTAGCAGGTCTAAGACTGAAGAAAGTAGGGACTACTGGTCCTATTTCTATGAAGAATCCTGCCTAGTGCAGCTGTTAGACAAGCCTATTGGCAATATGGAACATCTGCCTCAGCATCCGCTCATCAGGTGTAAACTGATTAAGCATACACATGCACTTATGTTTAGGAAAGTTTCACTTAGCTCAAGTCTAAAAGGCAGGGTTTTAGATCAATGTTACCTGAGTGGCCAACAACACATCTCCCACAACGAACCACTTTTGAGAGTCTGAAAGCAAGTATCAGAGACTTTACTGCAGAGATTACGGATTACAAACCAGTAATTTATTTTCCATCCTGAAAAGAGAAATGGTTTTGAAAAGAACCCCAAGAGTGGAGAGGTGCTGAGAACTATCACACTGATAGCACTTAGGCAGAAGGAACATTGTCTGTGAGAAGATGGACAATGACAGCCAAGAAGGATCCCTGGAAATAGGAAACACTAGCTGCTGGGTAGCCAGGTATCTGTGTTGCTCATCCATTATATGCTATCTCCTTCCACTATATGGTTTAAGAATCAAAGTCTTACAACTCAAAAGAGTCTTGGGATTCGGGACAACCTTCCTCCTCATCATAGCAGACTGAGGCTCAAAGGCGGCCGCTCACTTGTGCACTATGGAGCAGCCTAGATGGAACTCAGATGTACAAGCCTACGATCCTTTGCAAGGTCACTCTTGCATCTGGAAGTGAACGTCACGTGCACTCTTGTGCCCGCCACCAGCACTCTTTTTCTATCTGGCTTTATGTTCTATAAAGACACGCATGCCCAGTGTGACCCTGCAAACTCACAGAAGCATGGTACACCAGGGAGAACAGAGCTCTAAGGCATTTTAGCTGGCTTTGTGTACATCCCAGGAATAAAATTCTTACCCTAAAGAATTAGCTGTCATTTCAGGTGATGGCGTCGTGGCAGGCAATCCATCTGGCTCAGTCTCTAAGTCATGGGCCGTGAGATGGCAGGGCTTAGGCGGCCATGTTTGTCACTTCTTCCTAACAGGGGTCCTCATCTCTAGGGGAACATGGTTCCTCAGCCCCAGGCCTCAGGCACCCCCTTCCCTCTTCTTCCTGGTGTATCTTGTTCTGCTGTTCACAGACAGAGGAAAATTGCTTTTCTCTCCTGCTTTCTGTTTATTCTTTCCTTTAGATAACTCCAGTCTGTGAAGCAGCCTACCACTGACTCAAATGCAGAAAGAAATACAAATGTGGAACAGTCTTAAACAGATCAATAAATACACAGGGGTGCATTTGGAGACCCTCCGGGCAGGACCGAATGATGGAGCTTGGAGTGTGGGGGGGGAGGCATAGCCGTACCTCCATCTCAAGACTAGTTTCAATATGGCTTTAAATTGGATCCTTTAAAATAACTTAATGGATTTAATTACAATTTTAATAGCTGGTATGAAAACACTCTATGAAATTAGGATGTTATATTTCATATAACACAGAGACCAGTTCCCTACAACACTGCTGTGAGTCATTCTGTTTTTTTTCCCCACTGGACTGACGTCATTTTTGACGTAAATGGAATGCTGCTGGAGGATCAGACCCAGGCATCAGGGAAAGCAGGAATGAAGCCTTATAAGAATGGGGTCCACTGTTCACTCTGCTATGCACTGGGCCTCTCAAAAACAGTTCTACCTGCTTTCTGCTATTGTCAACTGAAATGCTGGGCATAATGAGGCACTTGGTGGCATTTTGAACTTAAACGGTATCTGCATATTATTCACAGTGACTGCAAGTTCATAAAAGATGGACCCTTTGGGATTGGGGGCT